TATTAGAGACGATGTTCATTTCAAGCCCTAATATGAAACATGGATGACAATTGAAATAGAGGGGGGAAATATTTATGATTTACATGTTAATGTTTCACAAAAGATGAGTAAAATTATGTAGAAAAGCCTATTTTATCATTTCACCCGCGGGGCATTGCAGACTGAGTTAGGTTCTGGGTGGTTAATCTTCCTAAATTGATGGATTTATTCACTCAGGTGAATGTACACCTATTACCTCTACGGGACTTTCCTCCACTCTGAGAGCCTAAGGAAGCCTGGCTGTTAGTGGACTACGTGAACTCACTGTCGAGGTTTTAATCTTAAAGAGCATCTGTTATATTTCTTTGCCATGTCTGATATAGTAAGTCTGAAGAAGTTGAAGCTGCTAATTACATTCTGGGGGGAAGAGCATGCCTTTATGTTATGACTCACTTAGCAGTATCAACAACAAGAGAAAATTCCCAAGTTGTCTGCGTGAAGGAAATCATTGTGCAAGCTAGATCTTGCAAGGAAAGAAAGTATTTTGAACCGAATGCCGAAGTGAAGAAAGAATCCACGCTGGCCTTCGAGACCATCCCAAAGCAGGTACAAGTGCATGCTAACTGTAAATTCCCAAGACAATTTCTGCTTTGCCGCATGCCATTTGGAGGTGAAAGGGTAGATTTTAATTTTGAGTTATTGAATTTTAACAAAAGATTTGGAATTCATCGGTGGTTGGACCAGTTTCTGTTGTTATAAGTTTGTGACACCCTGGAAATTACAGTCAATAAAAAAACTAAGCAAGGCTCATGAAAGGGATCACTGACTGACAGGTATACCATGTGAGCAGTTTTAGTCTGGATTTCAAATATCCATTTCACAATATGTGACCATGCAGAGCTGATACCTCTGAATAATGTTTTCTTAATCATCAAAATTATATTTATAATTTATTCTTGGTCTACACATCATAAACTAACAGAAGGATTGGCTTATTAATTATTCACTGCATCAAGTGTTGCTTCACCATGCGCCTTCTAACATATGCAAATTTATAAAAACAAGTTTAAAACATTGTGAAATTAGTCCTGGAACTCTCTTCTTAAGGAGATAAATTAAGATTTAGTGTATTTTTGAGTCTTTGACTGTTTTAGGAGACTTTAACTTGTTAAAAGTGATGGAATGAGGATTTGTTGTGTTTATTCACCCTTTTAACTATTGAAAATATTATACCCTCAATTATTCTCTTACATTGCTTATTTGAGTTAAACTGTCTTCAGTTTTACTCTGTACAGGATAAAATAAGTGTTATAGCATATTTATTACTTAAACCAATTATAAATTTAAATATATTTTAATCATATTCTTCCCCTTCTCCACGTCCTTCCAGATCCTCTCATCCCTTATATCCACCCAACTTTAAGTTCTTTCTCAAAATGTAAATAAAAATCCAATACAATAACAAAATCACCCAAGATAAATAAAATAAAATAAAACAACATCCAAGAACAAAGCAAAACAAAACCCCCACCAAACTATAACAAAATAAAAGCATACACACACACACACACACACAAAAAAAAACCTGTGGAATCCATTCTACATTTGTGAAGTATTCCTGAACATGAGGCGTGCTCTGGAATGGTTGGTATTGCCAGTGTCACTCTGCTGGAGAAAGCTGACTTTCCTTTCTCAGCAGGTATAAATGACAGCTCAGTTGTCTTTTAAACTAGTGGCTAGGTTTCCTTTCATTCATTAAAGCATTAAAAATATATATAACTAAAGGAGCTGGGCAAGACAATCAAACAGAAGGAAAAGAACGCAGGAGGAAAAGAACGCAGGAGAAATTACAGGAATCAGAGACCCATTCATCTACATACTCAGGAGGAAAAACACTAAATTGGAAGCCACAATATAAACACAGAGGACCTTGTGGACCCATATCAGCCCTGTACGTGCTGTTTCGGTCTCTGAGTTCGTATGAGCTTTGCTCATGTTAATTTAGAGGACCTTGTTCTCTTGATGTTCTCCGTCCCCTCTGGCTCTACCACTCTTTCTACCTCTTCTTCTGTGGGGTCCCTTGAGATCTGAAAGAAGTGATTTAATGGTGACGTCCTATTTAGGATTGAGTGTTTCAAGGTCTCTCACTCTTGTATAATGTCTGTGGGTTTCTTTATGCATTCCCATCCTTTGCATGAAAAAGCCCCCTGATGTTGGTTGAACAAGCACTGGTCTATGAGTATAGCTCAATATCATTAGGAGTTATTTTATTACTACACTTTTTTTTTTCTTTTCTAAACTGGTATCATTTGATTTTACCCTAAATCCCTGGGATATCTAGACTTAGGTTCTTGGTAATTTAAGCAGTGCCTAGTATGGGTTCAGTCTTGAGGAGTGGACCTTAAGTCAAATTCAGTATTTACTCCAACAAGTTTTGTCTCACCATTTCACTAGCTTATCTTGCAGGTAGAGCATCACTGTAGATAAAGGATTTGTGGCTGGCTTGGCGCTTACACTGACTTTCTGATAGTGTAGAGTACCTTCAAGTCTCAGACACATTGAGATGTAGGCACCATCTTGACATCTCCCTGTTGTGTGGGAGTTGTCTTCAGCAATGGGACCTTACTGTCAGTTTGCTATAGACTTAGGAACAATTTGTGCTGTTCAGGGGGGATTCATGAGGCCCTGTTAGCCAACAACTCAATTAGTTGTAACCTAATCCTGGTACTGGGAAACATCACTTGGTAACAATTGTGTATATATTTTAGGAAATTTCTGATGTGTTAGGTTTCCATACTACCCTTAAACAGCCATTAATTTTTTTATCTCCACTTATTCCCCCCTATAAACCCTCTCCCTTCACCCTTACTTGATTCTGCTTACTTGATCTTGCTACCCCTGCATCCATCCATAAGTAACTATTTTTTCTCCCTTTTATAATAAGCTCTGTTTCTCCCTCTAGTCCTTTAATCTACACCTATCTTCTCTAGTTCTATGGATTGTAGATTGGTTTATTATTTACTTCATGCCTAATAGCTTAGTCAGTGCTCTAATACTGTGAAGAGACACCAGGACCATGGCAACTCTTATAAAAGAAAGCATTCAACTGGGATTTGCTAACAGTTTCAGAGTTTTACTCTGTTGTGCGCATGCCAGGGAACATGGTGGCACAGAGAGAGTCATGCTAGCTGAGAAGTGTACATTTGGATCCAAAGGCAGCAAGAAGGCAGACAGACAGACATACAGACACAGACACAAACACATAGACACAGAGTGGGGAGGGAGATAAGGAGAGGGGGAGGGAATCGAGGGAAGAAGAGAGGGAGGGAAAGATGGAGAGGAGAGATAGAAACGGAAACGGAAACAGACAGACAGACAGACAGACAGACAGATGGACAGGCTGGTCCTGGCTTGGCTTCTGAAATCTCAAAACCCATCCCCAATGACATACTTCTTCCAATAAGGCTATACCCGCTAATTCTTTCAAATAGTGCCACTCCCTGGAGACCAGGGATTCAAATTTATGAGCTCATGGGAATTATTTTTATTCAAGCTACATACTCTCTTATTCAAATATATAGCCTTGTTTTCTCTGTTTACTGCTATACAAACATTTCCATACATATAGGAACACAACCTGCTGAATCACTTTAGTGTTACTTGTAGGTATATGATTTCAGGAAGGACCACTTTTTATTTAATAATTAATTAGGGAGCTTAATCCTGGAAAGACTACATTTTCCTTTCCTGCCATTCCTTAGTTGCTGCAGTCCTTTGTCTAGGAATGGGACCCCACCATATCCTCCTGTGTTCATGTTGGTGGTCTATTGGTGTTGTCCTGGTCCAAGTCTTATTTAGGCTCCCATACTGTTGAGTTATGGATGTAGCTTCCCTGTCATGTCTAGAAGACACAATTTCACAGCATATTTCCTGGTTTTCTGGCTCTAACAATCTTTTTGACCCCTCTTCCTGAGCTAAGAGTTATATTGCCAATATATCAGTTCAGGTTGAGCAACCATGGGCAGTTGTCCTCTTCATTTTGACTAGTTCTATTTTTTTTTCGAAAAGTCTCTGTCTGCTGCAAAGAGAAGCATCTTCTTTTTTTTTTTTTTTATTTTCGAGACAGGGTTTCTCCGTAGCTTTTGGTTCCTGTCCTGGAACTAGCTCTTGTAGTCCAGGCTGGCCTCGAACTCACAGAGATCTGCCTGCCTCTGCCTCCCGAGTGCTGGGATTAAAGGCGTGCACCACCACCGCCTGGCCAGAGAAGCATCTTTGATGAGGCACAAGAACTACAGTTAACTATGGTATAGGAATAAATATTTTAAAAGCCGTTAGAAATTGTGCTGGTTTAGGAAACTAGGAATCATAGGTTTGCCTCTATGAGACCATCTACTCTAAAGCCCACATTCAGGTGTGAAGCTAGAGGCCATGAGTATTAAGGAGACTAATTTTCAAAAACCATGTAGTTGACTTTTCTAAAACTTCAATCTGTTGAGTCTTGTCATGCTCTTGGAATTATTCAAATCAATACTAATTCCTTGTCTACAAACTATTTTCGTATATTTGAAACAACTGTCTTATTTTCCTGTATTCCTTTCTTCTCTAAAGCTATTGAATTTTCTTTAATTAGTTCCAGTTGAAAAATCATTTGGGCCTTTCCACTACACCTCATCAATGTTCTACCTCAGGCCTACACTCCATACATTGTCTGGCCAGCACGAGACACAAAGGAAATCGCTTCATCTTGATCTTTAGTTTTCTGGCTCGGTTAACTTCATTTAAGATGAAATTCGGGTTGTTTTGGCAACCGCATCACACTATTGACTTACGATGAACTCTTCAACTTGAAATTATGAAACCTTTCAGGTTTTCGTGAGATGAGCCACCACTGAAAACAGAGCCATGGAAGGTCAAGGGCGTCCACTGTTTTATTTAATCAACTCCCGGGACAACTGAGTGTGTCTGAGGGACTTACCAACAAGAGAGCACGTTAACATTCCTGAATTCTCTTTTCACTGTGTTTGCCCCAGGATATTTGCCTGCTGCATATTTCATGCCCTTTCCGGTGTATGCATTCTGAAAATGTCATGTTCTCTTCTGTGTGAGCATCTCTGCTGATGAAGATAGAAACACTGGCTAAGACGAATGGAAATAAAAGTTGTCTTCATCGAGACCATCTCCAGTTGATTTAATGAGTGCTGTACTGTGTGAGTTCTCCTCAGAGAGGAAGCCAAATTGAAGTACTGCTGTTCAATCTCGGACACCTTTCTGCATCACATCTCCAAATGGGGTGAGTTGGACCCAGTCAACACTTTATAGGAATGCAGCCATAGCACCCTGTGTGTTACCTTTTTAATAGTAATTGCAGGAAATAATTGGTAATCATTTGGCACACTATTTTGTGGACCAATGCTGGCATTTAGGGATCATTTCTTCCCAAAAGTTTGCAAAGGACTTTATTTTAGTATTAATGTTTTCCCCCTTTGAGGGATATTAGGTAAATAAATTTCAACCTGGTGCCATGTTTCTAAACATATTCACTATATGTTTTCAATGATTGTAATTTGTTATAGTAAAAGGAAATTTGAGTAAATGGTTCAAAAATAAGTAGACGATAAAGTTTCAATTCACAGTGAAATAAACAACTTTGCAATACTTTTGAAACTTTAGTTGTAATTTAGCACTTGGTACTATAGTATATACAATAGTATATCAAATTATCAATTGTGTGAAACTTGGCATACTACTGTATATACCGTAGATGACAAACAATTCGACAAATAAAGAAAAACAAAGAAAATGAATAAGGTAACAGAATTCTGCAAAAAAAAAAAGGCCTATTGATAGAATTTAACATCATGGAGAAAACATGTTTTCCAAATAGATTATGATTTTAGCTAGGTCTTGAGATAAAATAACTTGAATATTGTTCTAATAAAATTATAGTTTTTACTTTAATAGTTCAATTTATATCTTCCATTTGGAGCAGGGTAACAATCCCAAATTTCTTTTTGTGAGAATTTCTTTGAAATATCAAGATATTCTTAGTTCAGCAAAAATATTGTTTCTTTTAAAGATTACCCATAGTTTTGCAATATAATTTTTTTTTTGATTTCTTGAGACGAAGTTTCTCTGTGTAACTTTGGGGCCTGTCGTGGAACTTGCTGGAATTGAACTCACAGCTCATAAAGATCCACCTGTTTCTGACTCCCAAGTGCTGGGATTAAAGACATATGACACTACCACCTGGCGCTAATAATATAAAATTGATTAGTTATTCTTTTGTGGTACTGGAGATAGAACCAACAACCTCAAGCACAGTTTTTAAAAATATACAGCTACTCACTGTCAATCTGCACTGAATAACAAAAATTTAAAAGGAAAATTAAACCATAGAGAACTAAAAGTTCTCCTCCCAAAAAATGGGGGTAGTTATCATCTTTTTTCTTTATTGGGGTAATATACTCATATCAAAATTTAGAATTTTAACAGTAATGATGTTTTGTTATTTTGAAATTTCTATTTCAATCTTAATTGCTGAGTTTTGATAAACTCATTTAGATCAATATTTATGAACAGGAATGTAGGCAATCAATTCCTTTATAAACATTGAGCAATAATGATGCTATCCCTGACTTAGTGGTAATTTTGAGACATGTGCAATTAATTTTCTTTAATGTATTTATTTAAATAACTGTATAGTAATTATCCCATAGTTTGCAGTGACAATGGGAGAGGAAGGAGAAAGAGGAGGAGGAGATCCCAAAGATTCATGACTTCCAAGTCGACACTTAGTTCATTATCAAGATGTCTTTGTTTGATCTTCCCAGTATTTTCTACGTCCTTGTCAAGATTCTTCTTGCTGAGTTCCTTGCTCGTGCTCTCTCTCCTTCTGCTCCTGATTTGGACCTTGAGATTTCTGTCTGGTGCTCCAATGTGGGTCTCTCTCTCTGTCTCCTTTCATCGCCTAATGAAGGTTAATATTCAGGAGGATGCCTATATGTTTTTCTTTGGGTTCACCTTCTTATTTAGCTTCTCTAGGATCACGAATTATAGGCTCAATGTCCTTTATTTATGGCTAGAAACCAAATATGAGTGCTGACAAGGGAGAGGGACTTTTTGAAGGGAGGGGAGGGAAATGGGAGGCAGTGGCGGGGAAGAGACAGAAATCTTCAATAAATAAATAAATTAATTAATTAAAAAAAGATTCTTCTTGCTGCCTAGCTTCTCTGGGGTCATAGACTGTAGGCTTGTTATCTTTTGCTTTACATCTAATATCCACTTATGAGTGCATACATATGGTGTTTGCCTTTCTGGGTCTGAATTATCTCACTCAGGATGTTTTTTTTCCTAGTTCCAACCATTTGCCTGCAAATTTCAAGATGCCATCTTTTTTTTTTAATCACTGAGTAGTACTCCATTATGTAAATGTAGTGGTGCTGTGGGAACTCCTTCAGTCAATAGCCTTTAAGGTACTGGGCCACTTTGGGTGTGGTCTCATGTGCTATAAATTAGTATGTAAAAGTGTGCACAGACCCTTGGCTGCTGGATTCAGTTCTAGTTTCCAGAGCAAGTGGAGGACTGTGGATCACTACTCTTCCTGTGAGTTTATCCCCTAATAAACAAACCTTTATTATATTGTATTCTGGGATAGTGTGGAACTATTTAATACCGCAACAGCTTGGCACCAGAAATACCCCCAGTTCAAATAAGAACTTCAGAAAAACCCAACTGACTACTCAGAGATTATCTGAAATTGTCCCAGACAGAAATATTGAAACTTAATCATCATTTTAGCTTTTGTAAGATCCCATAGAAATAACATTGCACCCGTGACAGCTGGAAATAATTCTATAAGATGACATCCCTTCTCACAACAAAGTTTGTCCTCAGGGTTAGGGATATCTATTAGGGGTTGATTATAAGTGATATAGGTTTGGGAGTGGAAATTGAGTATGCTCAGGGATCTCTGCATATCTATCTATCTATCTATCTATCTATCTATCTATCTATCTATCTATCTATCTATCTATAGTGTGTGTGTGCCTGTGCATGTGTATGCTCATGTGTGTGCATGATTTAAGATCACTACACCACAAGCAATTCAGATGATTTGGAGAGAACCTGGAAAATGATAGAACATCAATATATATTGTGAATGTGTGCACATATATGTGCACATGTGTGCGTGTATGCATGGTGTCAGAATTCTTCATCCTTGGTTCCTCTGCCTCATGTATATAAACTGAAGACAAACTGGTCAAAGAGGGTTTCTTTCCCTTACATAAAAACCATAGTTATGAACAAAATCAGTGATAGTTTTGAGCTACTACATTTTAGATAGTTTCTTACCTAACACAAAGTAACCTAGGGGATGTTTTTGTCTCTTTTGAAAGAGTGTGTCAGATCATTTGTTGTTGTTGTTGTTGTTTCTATGGGGGGAGCATTTCTTTATATCAAGTTCCTTGAAACTTTCATACACATATAATGCTTTCTGATTACATTATTACTCACACTTATCAGTCTTCTGACCCCTACTATAGGTCCACTTTTTAAATTCATTGCATTTAATTTGATTTTGTGACTCAATTAGTTTAACAATTGCCATCTGTATGACCATTAGATTGGGACTGTCCATTACATCCTGGATTGGTCATGCTGGGTCCAAAATTGAAGGTAATTTCCCCCAATCTCTCTGTTGGAAATTCTACAAAAGTGGGAGGTAGGACTCCATGAGTCATTCCTCCATCTGCACCTGACTATATGAGCTCATTTTTGTTCAAACTCTGTGCAGTTATCCATAGTTCTTGAAAGTCTATTACTATAATGGCTATATATTCCTCAGTGGTTGGCCTTCTCCAACTCTTCTACCTATATTTTAGGTTTCCACATTCTTACCACAGTTTTTCTTGAAATATGGGGAGCACAGTATAAATGCCTTATTTATGGTTGCAAATTCACCTGTCATTTTCCCTCAGCACCCTGTGCACTCACAGTCGACTGGAAAGAGGTTTCTCCAAGTACTAGGCATTTGGGTACTTTGACTGCCAATTTAGCAAAACAGCAGAGTTGAATTCTTTCCTATAACCTATGACTTCTACCATAAAGAGTTTTTGTGTGTGCTTAAAGTATGAAGTTTATGTTTATTCCTGTAGTCTCAAATTCAAGTGCATAGTGTTGGTTACCCCATAGCAGGTATGCCACTATTGCACAAATGACCTGGCAGTTTGATATTGCAGTTCACAGAATTCAAAGCTGGCAAGGCTATTGATGCTTTTTCTTCCCTAGCAACCTTATAGTAACTTCAGTCACTAAGAGAACTAGCTGGCAGGACCAGGGTAGGTGAATAGTGGATAGGGGGACAGTGAATGAGTGATGAGTGGGTGGTAGGTTTTTTTTTTATCACTATTCAGGCTCAATTTCTTTATAGAATGCAATCAAAATATACATTATCTTCAGTTTTTCTGTATATGTAATTGTCAAATAATCTTGGATAATTGGAATATTTTTCATGATTTGTATTTTATGCAATTTCTTCTTATAGAATTTGACTTCAAAACCCTCCAGTTTGTCCTAGTTGCTACTACATTTTTCATATTCAGATTGCGAGGACTTGGGCCACTTAATCTCAGACATGCCCTACATCTGCCATCTACCTCAACTCTTTGCTCTAGCTTCTTCTTCCCTTTAGCTTTTCTGTTCAAGTTTTATTATTCCCCAGCACAGTTTCTTAAATATTGGTGTCTTTTCCTTGAGCAGGTATCATGGCTCAGTTTTAAGAGTCCCTGGAGGCAAACTGCTACAACATTAGACACTTGCCCAGTGGAGTTTATTTGAGTTTTCTCTCATGTCTCCTTGGGACTTACTGTTTTCCTTGCTAACTGGTTGAGATTGTGAGGTCTTTTCCACCAGCAATCACTCTCTTCCTTTACTCTACCTTCTCCTACATAGACATACTAGCATGCAACCCTTAAAAGGCATGGGATCAATCTCTTCTTAAGTTGCATTTTATTTAAGTAGGGAGGATATACTTGTCACCTAAATTTGATGTCATAGGCTTGTTGGCTTTGGTGCCAGTAGATCTGGCTGTTTTTACATGAGAATTCAGGGAGTTTAAAAAGTCATATTGTTGCCACCATTCAGATCTTCTCTCAGTAACCTCATAATATATTCAATTACAACACTAAAAGCTGATTAAGAAGGTGTATTGATTCCGTGAGAGATTGCATGGGTCTGAAAATCTATTCTTAGTGTATAAATAGAAAATTCTCTTTCATTTCTATTGAACCC